AGGCGGGGGGGAGAATGGCTGGAGAGCAGCCCTGAGGCGAAGGACTTGGGGGTGGGAGGAGATGAGAAGCTCAACATGAACCACCAGTGAGTGCTGGAGTCCAGAGGGGCAATTGTGTCCTGGGCTGCATCCAAAGAAGTGTGGGCAGCAGGGCCAGGGAGGGGATTCTGCCCCTCTGCTCTGCTCTGGTAAGAACTCACCTGCAGTGCTGTGTTCAGCTCTGGAGCCATCAGCATGGGAGAGGCGTGGAGCTGTTGGAGAGAGTCCGTAGAAAGGTCATGAAGATGATCCAAGGGCTGGAGCAGCTCTGCTCTGGGGACAGGCTGAGACAGCTGGGGTGTTCAGCCTGGAGAAGAGAAGGCTCCAAGGAGAACTTAGAGCAGCTTCCAGTACCTGAAGGGGCTCCAGGAAAGCTGGGGAGGAACTTGGGACAAGGGCAGGGAGGGATGGGGTGAGGGGGAAGGGATTAAAACTGACAGAGGGAGGATTTAGGGGAGACACGAGGAATAAACTCTGCCCTGTGCGGGTGGGGAGACCCTGGGACGTGTCACCCAGGGAAGCTGTGGCTGCCCCATCCCTGGCAGTGTTGAAGGGCAGGTTGGATGGGGCTTGGAGCAGCCAAAAAAAGAGAATAAAAAGAAGCAGCAGCATTTCTTCCAGAAGCCTCCAGCTTTCCATGGTCGTGCCTCTTAGTCATAATTCTTCTTCCCTGCTAATTTTTGGAAGCACAGATCTCAGCTTGGCAGTGCCAGCTCTGTGAGCAGATTGCTGGTGAAGCCCTTAAAGAGGAATAAATGCATGTGATGGTGCATGGCTGCTGCTCAGGGGTGGTTTGGGGTGCACTGACCTGGGCTTGATTCAGGCATATGAGGTGTAAGGTGTAGGGTCTGGTTTTGGTCTCGTTTGTCAGAATGATGTGGAATGTGGAGTAAGTTAAGTAAATGTGAGTTAAGTAAATGTAAGTTAAGTAAATATAAATATAAGGCACTGGGACGTGTCACCCAGGGAAGCTGTGGCTGCCCCATCCCTGGCAGTGTTGAAGGGCAGGTTGGATGGGGCTTGGAGCAGCCTGGGCTGCTGGGAGGTGTCCCTGCCCATGAAATAATGATCTTCAAGGTCCCTTCCCAGCCCAGCCCATCCTGGGGTGCTGTACAAGACCTGGCTTCTGCCCACACCCACCACCCTCACCCCTCAGCCTCTCCTGTGGCCAAGAGCAGAAAGGCCCATCAGGGAAAAGCCAGGAGACCAGGATTTTTCATAACGCCCAAATTCTCTACTTGGCTGCTGGAGATTAAGTCAAGTCGACACAAGGCAGGGAGAGAACACACTCATATAATTAAACTTTGACAAATTAGGGTAGTGCTGCTCTCAAACAGCAGTTGAGCCTTTTCTTCAAGCATTAGGCAGAGTAGTCAATATTAAAGAGTCATTTTAGTGAAGGTCTCAGTATTCCTGTCTGCTTTTGGAAGTCTCTGTCAATAGATGTTATCTACAGCTTGTCAGAGAGGACAGGCAGACTTTGCTGGATCCACTCACCTTCTGGAACCAGACACGGCCCCCAAGAGCCTCCTCCTGCTCCTGGAGAAACACCTTTTCCTCCCTCCATCACCAGCTCTGCCAAGGCAGAACTTGCCTTTGCAAGCACCTCTGCTGATAAAGCCTCTGCTCAAAAAGCAAAACCACACAGACCATCTACAGTCACAAGTCCCCCTTCATGAGCTTTCTGAGGTCACTTTAGAGATCCATCCATCAGAGTTCATTCCTGAGGCAAAGAAAAACCAACAGTTACTCCTCGTGGCCTTCAGCTCAGTGACAGAACTAACACAGCTGCAGCGTTTATGGAAGTGCACAGGCTCCAGGAAAGAGAAGAGAAAACCTTGAGTCCTCAGCCTGCAAGCCCCAGCCAGCAGAAACACCCCCTGTGCTCCTGCTGTGCCTCAGCACAGCCAGGCCTTCCCTCTCTCTGCCACACACAGGAACGCAGGACCCTGTCAGTACAGCCAGCAGGCAAGGAGAGCAAGCTCACAGGGGCAGCTGCAAGGCAGGGAGGGAGGCTCCTCGAGGGGCAGCAGGTTGTTACCGAGGCCACTGCTTCTCCCTGTCAGTCAGGGGGACGTAGATGACGCCCATCAGCTGCGTCTCCACGATCTGCCCCTCGTGGGTCTTGTCGTACTGCATCAGCACCTGGTTGGCACCCTCGGGCCCCACGGGCAGGATCAGCCGGCCCCCCGGCTTCAGCTCCTCCAGCAGCTGCCACAGGGAGACAGCAGCATCAGCAGGGCCCACACAGCAGGGCCCCGGGGACAAGATGTGCTGGGAAGGTCAGGACAGCTCAGAAGGCAGGAGCTTGCCAGGTCCGAGCAACGTGGGGAGAAAAAGAAGCTGCCAGGGGGTTCCCCAGGTATGATTTCCTTCACAGCTGCTGATGCAGGCAGCCCACGGGGACAGGGCCACTCTTACCTCCTTGGGGACAGTTGCTGCTGCTGCTCCCACGTGGATGGCATCGTATGGAGCCTCCTCAGGGTATCCCTGCCTGCCATCCCCAACTGCAGGAGGAAAAGCACACAGAAAAGACTTCTGCCCTGATCGCAACTCTGCACAAACATGATCCTTCCTGCAGCCTTCCAGTTGAAATCTAGAGGATGAAAACTTTGTAACTAGATTGTGATGGGAGTCTTAGTTTTGTTGGTTTACTTTTAAAAAAGGGGGAGAGGTTTCTGGAGCTGAGCCCTGCTAGGAGGAGGAACAGTCAAAGCCAGGAGGGCCTGCCAGTGACACAGCAGCCTTGTGCAGGCTGGAGATCCCAGATACAGGGAGAGCTGACTCAAGTGACCCTCCCAAAACCACAACAGTGTGTGCAGACCCTTCACAGAAACTAAACCCCACATGTGGCACGACCACTCTCCTCTGAAGAGCATCTCTCACTGACTGAGATGGCCACAGTACCCACACTGGTGTGTACAAGTGAAATACTCCTCGTTTACCCCATCGTGGTCAGGCCAGGGGGGCAGGTGCTCACTTAGCCAGTGGCTTCTGCCAAGACACAGGAGCATGGACACCAAGTGAGCCAGTGCTCCCAGCAGCAGAGCTCTGCAGGCAGCCAGAGCCCTCCCAGGAGGGGACAAGGAGCAGGACCCCAGAGCTCACCCACAAGCTTCACACGGCCAGAGCTGAGCAACGTTGGATCATCTTCCTGGACGTTTCTGATGGATTCATGGACCAGCTCTTTGATGTGCTCCACACCCACAGCTTTCCCTGTTGGGCCCATCTGAAAGGAAAGCCAGCAGACACCTAATACCTCCTACATGGCAAGGAGATGTACTTCATAGGGAAGATGCTGTGGGGACTGGAGGATTTCCAGGCAGAAACTCGAGAGCAGAGTTTCTGAACAGGAAGTGCAAATACTCTGCCCCTTGGTTCCAAGGCTGAGCAGTCCCAGCTCCTTGAGGGACACACAGGCACTGCCTAAGGGCATTCCTAGCAATCCTTCAATTCCAAAGAAACAATTTATTTGGTAGAATTAGGAGCTGCCATGGCAGGGCCAGTCCTTGGCAAGCTAACCTCCTGAGAAAAGTAACTTGACCAGCTCCAGCATTTCACAGAAAACAATTTCAGGAGTTTAGAAAGCAAAGGCACAGATGAAAAGGAACCTACAATGGAATTGCACAGCAGATGACCACAGTCCTCTTGATCTGAGCTGGGGCAACACACAAAACCTCTCATGGCAGATACAGCATCCACTGAGTTTCCAAAAATGACTGTTTTTATGAAGAGCTGGTTTGGGAGGAGTTTACCCCTTCCCCCCACAAAAGGCAGGTGCCAGCTCTGGCAAGTGCATCCTGATGCACCTGGCTATGAGGAGCAGAGTCCCGGGAGCTCACCATCCTGGCAAAGCAAGCAGTAAGGTATCCACTTCCAGATCCAACATCCAGTGCTTTTGCACCTTCCACAAGCTGATCCTTCAGCAGCTCCAGTGCGTGGGCATGCTGTGGGAACAACAGCACAAAAGGGTATCAAACATCCCATTGAAGTTTCCTCTCCTCAAACTTGCTCTTCTTCTAGGTGTTATTTAAGCACTCCTGGCATCCTGTCTGACACACTCAGAGAAAAACTCAAGTGCTTGATCTGGGACATCTTTTTGCAGAACAGCATTTGGGAAGAGGTTCAGTAATAAGGTGACAAGCAGCAGGGAAGAAAAGTGTCATGCAAAAGCTGGACAGCACCCGTGGCTGGCCTGGTGGCACGGAGCTCCTCTCCAAGCCTGCTCTTAAAGCAACTGGAAGAGCACAGGGCAAACCCTTCTTAAAAAGAAAAGAGTTTCACACAGTGACTGAAGAAACAAGCATGATAATCACACCCGTGGGAGCTGCTTCACCTTTCTAGTGCAGTATTTGAGAAAAAGGGAGGGGGGAACAAAAAAAAGCAAGCAAACAGTTCACTCAATTTCTGTTCCAAGTGAGCAGGTTCATCATACCATGTGTGGTGCACTGATCGTGGCCTTGTATCCTGAAAGGGAACGAGTGACAAAAGTGATGTGATCAAGAAATTAAAATTACCAGTGTCAGCAGTTCTTTATTCTCCCCCACTTCCTCCTGAACATAGGAAAACACTCTTGTGCTGCACTAAAGCAATGAATTGACCTAAGACTCTTCCTCTGGGGGTACTAAGGAGCACAGGAAGGCTGCACAGCACTGCAGCTCCCAAACGCTCTGCAGCCCTTGCAGCCTGTGTCTCCAGCAGGACCTGGAGCAACCAACAAAAATCTTGGACACAGAAAAGCCCTGTTGTTCTTCCTTCTGATCCCCCAGCTGAAATACAGGGGGGGTTTGCTCTGCTTGATCCATCACAAAACTCACCCTACTTGTTAGGGAGAGGCCACAGGGAACCTGGACAGTGAAGGTGCCCAGCTGGAAGATGGGAATGCTGTGCCTGGAGCTACTCACCAATAGACTGAGGAGAATCCATGTATGGGAAATACTTGATGTAGTGTCCTCTGTCAGTAGCCAACAGCACATCAAAGACTCGCTGGGATTTAATGATTCCTTTTTCTGGGAGAAGAAAGAAAACAGAAAGGACTTAATCCTCAGTCGCGTAGCAAGAGGAGGTTTGGAAGTGGGGGAGCAGTTCAGTGAACAGGGAGAATTCAGCCTTAAGAACCTGAGAAGGGACTGAAAACAGAACTGCAGAGGGAATCAAATCCTTTTCAGTTCCTGTTACACCAAATGAAATCCTGTCATGGTCCCAACCACCAGCCTGGCCTCTCTCCAAGGATGGAGACTGGCACCCCCAGTGCTGCTGCCACACGCCATGGAACTGTCACACCTTCAGGGTGACAGTGGGGACTCCAGCTCAGGCTCCAGGAGCACTGGCACAGTCAGTCAGCTGAAGGTAAGAGTGATGACTGCAGACACACTCAACATCTCCTCACACCTCATCTCAGGGAGCACTTAACATAGGGCAAAACAGCCTAAGCAGCAGGGAAAATTTAAACGTTCTTCAGTGTGTTCCAGCCACCTGTCTGGAATGGAATGCTGCTCCTGTCCCTGCTCCAGAGTGAAGCAGCACTGAGCCCTGCTCCTGTCCCAGGGCATCTCATTGGAGGGGCACAGAAGCTGCAGTCCTGGGCAGGTGCCAGGCAGCCCCCACTGCACGGGCTGCAGGCCCAGGTCCCTCCTGCCACTTCTGGCATAACCTCTTGTTTCCGTTTATAAACAGGACAAGTTCAGACTGGGACAAACCCTGAAACTCAGGCCACGCTGCCTGCAGCACTTCAGAACAAACTGCACCAAATATCCTGACACTGGGGTGCCAGGAGATTCCCTGGGCAGCTTTTGGAGGGTCCCCAAGCCAGAGCCCACCCTGGTACTCACTGTAGAGGTTGTTGACCAGCTCTGGGTGCGTCTTCCCACTCGACGTCCAGGCCATGGTCCTGGCCAAGAGCAGTCCCATGAGTGGCAGCACGGCACAGGGCAGCAGGCAGCTCATTCCACGGAGACAGACAGGGCTGGCTGAGGGGGAGAGCACAACCAGGCACCCCAAACCTTCACCTTCCCTCCTCGTAAGGTGACGTGGCACTTACCGCGCTGCCCGGGGCAGGAGGGAGCTGGCAGGTGGCACGGGGCAGGGAAGAGCTGCAAGGGACCTTCCCAGCTGCAGCCCATAGAACTGCTGGGATTGGAAAAGCCCTTTCAGACCCTCCAGCCCACCCATTCCCCCAGCCCTGCCCAGGCCCCCTCAGCCCCACGTCCCTCAGCACCATCTCCAGGGCTTGGAAACCCCTCCAGGGATGGGGACTCCCCCTCTGCCCTGGGCCGCCTGGGCCAGGCCCTGACAACCCTTGCCAGGCAGGAATTGTTCCCCAGATCCAACCTCAGCCTCCCCTGGCACAACTTGAGGCCGTTCCCTCTTGTCCCATCCCTTGTTCCTGGGGAGCAGGGCCCGACCCCCCTGGCTCCAACCTCCTCTCAGCAGCTGCAGAGCCAGCAGGTCTCCCCTCAGCCTCCTTTGCTCCAGGCTGGACACCCCCAGCTCCCTCAGCTGCTCCTCACAAGTTCTCCAGCCCCTTCTCCTCCTGCTCCAGCCCCCTCCCCAGCTCCGGGGCCCTTCCCTGGCCACCCCCCAGCCCCTCCATGTCCTTGTCCCGGGGGACCCAGCCCTGCCCCAGGGTTCCAGGGCCCAGCACAGGGGCCCCAAAACTAACCCCAGGATCCCTCAGCCTTTCTCCAGCTCACAACTCCACCCCGCGCTGGGCAGGACGCCCCTCACGGCGCTCCTCCATTCTGGGTGACCTCCCAGCCCGGGCAGGGCGGACCCCGGTGATGGGCCCTGGAACCCTGGGGCAGGGCTGGGTCCCCCGGGACAAGGACATGGAGGGGCTGGGGGGTGGCCAGGGAAGGGGCCCGGAGCTGGGGGAGGGGCTGGGG